AGTAATTAAACCTTTCTTAAAACCTCACGATCTATTCAGTTTAAGCTAAATACAGTAACAATTCAGTATATTGAGTAGGAAAAAACAGTGCTATTTCCAGTAGGAAGGCAATAAGCTTTATTCTCGAAAGTATGTAATACGTTTGACTGGTAAAAATTAAGGTAATGTGGTTAAAGTTCCACTTAACATCATTACTTAGTGCGCTTGATACAAATAAAGGGGTAATTTACATTAAAACTAATAGCATTTTCGATAGACTGAGGGTTTGTCGTGTTAGATTTTGTTTAGTGTTATATTATTTTTTTTTTTTTTTTTTTTTTTTGTGAAATCCTGCTTTGCGGATAGTATGATTTTAATGACTAAGCATTATATATTAGACGCTGTTCCAAATAAGTTTTGTAATAAATCTACATATATATTGGTGTTATAAAGGCAACATTTTAAACCCAAAACAGTCAGGATTCTACTTCGTCAAAATTATCTGCTCATTACGCCATCAATTTTTTTCAATCGTAAAAATGAAAGTCATTGTAGTGATGACGCGCTGTCAATTTATCCCTTGAAAACCGATAAATGTATCCACATAGCATCATAACGGACCTAATGTGACAGTTGTATGTTAAAAGACAAATGTACCTGCTATCTATTATCAATCATTTAATGTACTTTTAAGCCTTTTGTTACCGTAAAACAATTGTCTGATCGGTTGTCGGGGGACATTTTCGAAATATAAAAAAAACACTAAAAAAATCTAATTAAATCTTTCGTGGAAGGGCAGAAAACATCAGAAGTTGAAGATTAATAACCCTAAATAACACAGACAAAACAGTTGGTTTTTTTTAAGTTATGCACAATAAAGATCCACAAGTAAAGTCATTCGTCAAGTGCTTTTAATAAAAATTTGTTATTTGAACAAACCTACTCTGTTTTTATGAATCATTAAAAAGGTATTTCAATTGACACATACATTTCATGTTTTGGTGCTTAGAATTTTCTGTTATTATATCAACCTAAATATATAAAAATAATAGAATCTGAAGCGAAATGGTGTATCAAATATTTTTGCTTTATGCGACAGTCAACTCAAACACACCTAAACATAATAAAAATGTGAACTCGACTTTCTCTTTTCAATTAAATTATTGACCATTTTTAGGATTTTTTCCCAAAACACTGTCGGCTGGGGCAGAGATGCATATTTATGACTTAAAAAGATAAATCGTCGGAATTTATGCTTATGCATAAAAAAGATCCACATGTATTTGCATCTACCATAATCGATTGTTTTGTGAAAATATGTTTTTTATTTAAATTTTACAAATATCTCGAAGTTCAATACTATAATTTAAGTATGAACATGTAAATAAGACGCGTAAAATCCTAAATCATGCACCTACATTAAACTTTTAAAACCAATAGAAACAGATGTTGTAAACAATCCAAATATAGCAACTTGGCCTTTTTTTATATTCTCTAATAAAGAGTTACATTTGTTTTGTTTACTTTTCAACTGTAAATTAGCCTGAAAAAAGCTCACAGTTAGTAACGTTGTCATATCTAGGAGCGTTTAGTACAGTTTGGTTCAATGGGTTAAGTTACTCTCCCCGACGATTATCGCAGTTCTTTATAAATGAACAAACAAAATGTAAATAAGATGTTAAAATCAATAGTACACATAAAACGCTCTTCATTGAAATTGTCGTTCTAGGAAATTAAGGTAAGTAAAGGATAATATCGAATAGTAGCACCGTTTAAATAAACGGTTCACATGATTCGGTAAAAGTGTCTAGGAATTTGTCATATGGTATCAATATAGTCCTGTTTTAGATTTTAATCTATACATTCCCGTTTCAAATCTTGTGTTCTATGTCTTTTTGTTATTTGTTTTTGTGCAGAACTGATAAGGCGAGCCCTTTCTGATTGATCTTTACAGTTCTTCATTGTGTTGCTACACCACTTACTCAGATTAGGGGGAGGGGAGTTGAGTGCTCACAAAAATGTTGAATACGCCACATTCTTTATGTGCCTGTCCCAAGATTGGAAACTGTAATTAAGACCTAGTGGTTGTCGTTGGTGGCTGTCTGCCATATTTGTTTTTGTTCATTGTTGTAGTATAAATCAGGCCGTTTGATTTTCTGTGACATACCGAGGCCTTTTATAAATTACTAAACGGTACGGGTTTTGTTCAGTGTTGAAGGCCGTACGGTGACCTGCAACAGTTCACTTAGCTTTTCACTTTGGTCCTACAAAAAGGAATGTTGTAATAAACGTGAAATATATCTAAAACATATTGATAAATAATTCCCACCAGAACTAAGAACTTAGTATTATGGTCTATAATTTGCATTTATAAACTTGTCATTTTGGTAAAACGATCGGAATACAAGCCATCACACAAGCTATAGCTACTATTTTGTTGAAAACTTGCGAGTTTGAAAAAAGGTACTAAAAAATATCGAGATAATGACACAACTTTGATGCACCGCACATGCATTTAGAAGTTCAACTCTGATGCACCGCACATGCATTTAGAAGTTCAACTCTGATGCACCGCACATGCATTTAGAAGTTCAACTTTGATGCACCGCACATGCATTTAGAAGTTCAACTCTGATGCACCGCACATGCATTTAGAAGTTCAACTCTGATGCATCGCACATGCATTTAGAAGTTCAACTCTGATGCACCACACATGCATTTAGAAGTATATTATTTGTTAATTGTCAATGGAACCAAAATCCAAACCATTCAAATCTAAATATTTCGAAAGTGTAAGAAAATAAGAAAAATAAACCCCCAAAACAATTGAGGGATGGGCACTGTTGCATCAATAACTTTACATCTTTTTGGTCACTTACGATATAACATGTATAATGTATAATGCTATCCGTATGCGCGTGCGTAAATGCCAGCCATTTTTTTATAGTATATATACCTTTCCATTGAGTAACCTTTACATATCTCGACCTGAGATTACTACAACGTGTGTTATAGCATGGAAGTATTATATTGACAGGAACTATAACAAACCGATTTCAAACGTTTATAGTGCGATGCCGCAAAATCGTTAAGTATCTGTTAATTAACTTGACATCTTTCAATTAGTCGTATCGATGCATGGGTTCAACAACGTTTTCGGGATACTCGTAATTACGGAATTTACCGAAGTAACCGGATGTATACATAAATGTCAAGGATATGACATTTAACGACCATGCCAATATTTGGCAGTTGACAGTTTTTTACTAGGTTTTCTATGTTAATAAACTATCGTCACTTACAAATATTTCACTAATCAGTATGGAAGTGCACGATTTTGATGATGAAGAATTTGAAAAAATTATCGGTGAAGACATTGAAGAGTTTTATTGCTTTTGTAAATCTGAAACTTGTTCAATAGAAAAGATAAAGGCTGTACGGTGACCTATAGTTGTAAACTTCTATGTCATTTGGTCTCTGGTGGAGAGTAGTCTCATTGACAATCATATCACATCTTCTAATTTTTATATTGAATTCTAATAAATTTCTTGTGTAAGGAAACACATCATGAGTTGTAATCTGCATGTATAATTGATGTTTACTGCTAACTTTGACAAATATCTTGTCGCATTAGATACTGAAAGTCCGATGTCAAATATTTCATGCATTTCAACAAAAACAAAATATTATAAATTTCTAAACAAACGCTGCAAGATGTTTCAGATATGTTAAGCCTTTACAAATACATTTAATTCTAAACTGGTTAATTCTAATGATAAAATTTTATAAGAATATACTGCTTAGGACCCAGCATTATGATAGTTCTTTAAATGCATCGAAATATTTAAAATTAAGCCATTATTTCCCAAAACAAGTCCGTCAGACGTCAGAGCAATCTCGGACTAGGTTGAAGGTTGTTTTAAACTTTTGAATTTATTCAAAAGGTGTACATGTAATCGGTGTTATAACCTGATACATGCTATATGAAGAGCTAGGCCATCACGTGCGTATAATTATCCACCTCTCTTAGTGTTTAAAACATTTTTCTATAAATATGTTAAATTACATTTTACGATATTTTACGATAGAGAAAACCATAAATATTTGTGTTACACTCGATTAAAGTTTTCAATCTTTAACTTAAAATTTGAGTTATCCGGCACCATCCGGCACACTACACGCGCATCACATTATTTTCTGCAAACACTCTACTTCAGAGTATAAATGTAATTTTCATAACCGGATATTTCCCGATTTCCTAGTTCCAGTGATAAAAACATATCAAACAAAACTAAAAATAATATTACCTTCTTTCCGAATACAGTTAACTTTCTTTTGTCATTCTGTTAAATATGGACCGATTTTTTAGATTGTTTCAGCTGTAGTCTTTAATTATTGAACAGAAACAGGTGTCGTTATTCATGTAGCGATTCGCAATTAGCCACGGGAGTTTCCGTGTTAATTTACATTGGTAGGTAGATAAGACCTTCGATAACAGATCACGTGATAAGATCAGTTTCTGTAAACTATACAGGCGAAGGCGGCATCGCAGATACCCCACAAAGAAGTTATCACGTACTTGAAAAACTGAGTCGGAACCTTTTATTTTCCTAAAGAAATCAGTGGGATGCGAATGTGCTAATTTTTCGTTGGAGTTCCTGTCAATATAATGCTTCCATGGTTATAGTAATCTCAGTCCCGATTAACATTTTTTTTTGCTTTAATTTTGTATATTGTATATGATAGGTTGGTTTCCTCCGTTAAACATTCAATATGCCTTCTTAATATACAAAGTATCGTTAAACTTTTCAAATAACGGTCGGGTACCAGTCTATGTATATGAATGATATGTTATATGACTTTTCCTATTTAGAATAAACAATTATAATTTAAAGATTAAATTATCATCCTATTCGTATAAATTGATAAAGATAATGACTGGCATACTTCAGGATAAGAAAATATTTAGATATGATTGTCCTGATTAATTTTACATGTACTATCGAAAAACACGTGTCCCTTTTCACATACTGTATGTGTACAATCACCGCATGAGTCTATACACAAAATGCATATAAAGGTAGTCGTTGTTGTTTTTGCATTGTGTCATTTATACTATGCTGATGCAGATGCTGACCCTGCAAATTTAGAACAAGTTTTTAAAGACATGGATACAAACGGGAACAATAAAGTAACAAAGAAAGAGGTGAGACTGTTCTTCAATATATATAAGGGTCTGGATTGGGCTCCTTCATTTCTTTATTTTATTTTACCATTTTTCTCTATTCTTTCTTTAATTTGCCCATTATTCTCTATTCTTAATATTTTAAAAGTACCGCATTATTCTCTATTTTTTTCTTTTTTTTTACCTATTTTTCTTCATGTTTTTGTCCCTTTATTCTGCTCTTTTTGTCCATTATTCTCTATTCTGTAAAACCCATCCAGACCCTCATATATCAGGTCTTTGGTATCTCAATGTAGACGTTATATTAAAGCTGTCTTTTTCTACCGGAAGAATTGTAACAGTAAATTCAGTCCGGTAGTAAAATTTGTCTCCTGGACTTTTTTCCCTAGGTAATCAAGTCCATGACCATAATTTTCCTAGGAATGTAAGTCCCAAGATAAATTTTCCTCGGAAAATAAGCCCATAGCTAGTGAAATATGTCTGGCACTTATTTTTCTAATAATAAAAGACATGGACGTTTTTATTACATTGGAATGTTAATGAAATGGACATGATTTCCTAGGAAAATTAGTCTGGGGACATAAATTTTATTAAAAGATTATGGCACAACTGTTAAACAAATTATTAAAACATAACAATTAAAAATTCCATTGTTCACATGTAAATCGTTTCTTTCCTTACAAATTTTCCTAGTAAAATAAAACATGGACGTTTTTACCTAGGAATATTACCCGGACACATTTTACCAGGACTAAGAGATCTCTTACAGAATATGCTAAACAAAAAATATAACACATACTTTAAAATAAGAATTAACTTTCAAAAGGGAATACTCATATTTCATGAAATACAGTTGAAGCATCAATAAGCTTTGGCACATTTCAGTAAGATATAAAAATAAACAATAGCACATGTGCTGTGTTTCACTAGGCTTTTTTTCAACGCCTAGACGAATCGGGTTCAGCAAACAAAAAGTATTCCAAATTGCCAATATTGTATTTTCCAATAGATTTCACTTCCCTAGTTTCTGACAAATATCAGTGGTTCACACCATAATAGTGAAAAACACGAACTTTGCAAGTAGATTTTTGGTAGTCTAAACGACTGTAAATTAGAATATTTGATATGAGATGTACAAACGTATGACCATTTTTGAAACACTGAACAATTGTACCAAAATACATTCGGACTAATAATACTAGCTTGGGAGGGAGAAGGTGGCACTTCGAACATTTTGTGGTAGGGGTGAGCAGGTCAGTACCCAACTCTATTCATTTATTTTGAACAGCAAAAATACACACCCTATCACACATTCGTTTACAAAAAATATACCTATGACTATCAGGCTTACGCTATTTCATGGAGAGATAAAAAGATTTGACAACTATATGACGCATTTATGACTAGTTATAATCGCTTCTGTGAAAAAATCGACATCTGATTAGATTCAATTACTTATCAGCAATCTTGTCATATATGTCATCGTAAATTCTCGACCTTAACACATGTCATGAAGCTGGAAAAACTTAAAGTGACTTATTTCAGTGGTTCATCCCTACCGCACATTACACAGTAAGGCATCCGCCCGAAATACTACAACAGTTTTTTTTATGCATGCTAATAAAGCATTATTAGGATATTTCTTTAATTTACATTTAGATATTTTCCTCATTAATTTAGAGTGTTATAAATTAAAAATGTCAATAGAGATATGCTGAAAGTGTTGATATGTCATGACATGTCAACATAAGGTATGTTGGAATTGTTGATATGTCGTGAATATGTTGGAAATGTGGATATGTCGTATTCTGGTAGTGTTGATATGTCGTGACTATGCTGGAAGCCTTCACTTGATATTTCGTGACTATGATGGAGGTCTTGATATGTCTTGACTATGCTTGAAGTGTTGATATGTCGTAAGCTGGTATTGTTGATATGTCGTGACTATGCTCGAAGTGTGGATATGTCGTATGTTGGTAGTGTTTATATGTCGTGACTATATTTAAAACGATGATATATCGTATGTTTGTAGTGTTAATATGTCGTGACTATGCTTAAAATGTGGATCTATCGTATATTGGTAGTAGTGTTGATATGTCGTGACTATGTTGGAAGTGATGATATGTCGTGATTATGTTGGAAGTGGTGATAAGTCATTTGTTGGAAGTGTTGATAAGTCGTATGCTAGTATTGTTGATATGTCGTATGCTGGAAGTGTTGATATGTCGTAGGCTGGTAGTGTTGATATGTCGTATGATGGTAGTGTTGATATGTCGTATGTTGGTAGTGTTGATATGTAGTGACTATGCTGGAAGTGTTGAAATGTCGTGACTGTGTTGGAAGTGTTGAAAAGTCGTATGTTGGAAGTGGTGATAAGTCATGTGTTGGAAGTGTTGATAAGTCGTATGCTGGAAGTGTTGATATGTCAAAAGCTGGTAGTGTTTGATATGTCATGACTATGCTGGTAGTGTTGATATGTCGTGATTATGCTGGAAGTGTTGATATGTCGTGACTGTGTTGGAAGTGTTGAAAAGTCGTATGTGGGTGGTGTTGAAAAGTCGTGAGCTGGTAGTTTTAATATGTCGTATGCTGGTAGTGTTTATATTTCGTATACTGGTAGTGTTGATATTTCATTTGCTGGTTATGTTGATAAGTCGTATGCTGGAAGTGTTGATATGTCGTATGCTGGTAGTGTTGATATTTCGTTTGCTGGTTATGTTGATATGTCGTATGCTGGAAGTGTTGATATTTCATATGCTAGTAGTGTTGATATGTCGTAGCTGAAAGTCGTTACTATGCTGGAAAGGTTTGTTATGTCGGGACTATGCTGAAAATGTTGATATGTCGTGATTAAGTCGGAAGTGTTGATAAGTCGTATGTTGGAAGTGTTGGTAAATCGTATGTTGGTTGTGTTGATATGTCGTATGCTGGTAGTGTTGATATTTCGTTTGCTGGTTATGTTGATATGTCGTATGCTGGAAAGTGATGATATTTCATATGCTTGTAGTTTTGATATGTCGTAGCTGAAAGTCATGACTATGATTGAAGTGTTGATATGTCGTGACTATGCTGGAAGTGTCGATATGTTGTATGTTCGAAAGATTTGATATGTCATTACAATGCTGAAAGTGTTGATATGTCTTGACTAATATGCTTGAAGTGTTGATAGCTCGTATGTTGGAAGTGTTGATATGTTTTAACTCTGAAAGTGTTGATATGTCGTGATTATGCTTGAAGTGTTCATATGTCGTATGCTGGAAGTGTTGCTATGTCATGACATTTCTTGTTAACCTGACTTTTTTACGTTGCAGGTATCAAAATACTTGCAGACAAAAGGACTTGGTCTAGAGCCAGATTCTGACGATTTCAAACGGATTGTGCAATCTTTCTTTGATTCGTATGACAAAAATAAGGACAAAGCTATAACAGTAGACGAATTTGCTCCCAAGAAGGATGAACTGTAATGCATATGAATAACACAACAAAGGAACGTTTAATACAAAATCTGCATGTTCTATATGTTTTTGGAAAAATAACATACGTAAGAATAGAGTGAACAATCTTATAATATTTCGTGAGAGATTTTCACCAACATTATTATTTTCATTAAAAAGAAATGGTACCTCAACACATATGTTTATCATGTTTACAAATACGTCAATAATTAACACGTTTACTCGCATATTTTAAGTTCTTTCTTCCAAGGAGGTGAAATTATTTATATTTCTAACACATCCACTCGCATACTTTTAGTTCTTTCTACCAGGGAGGTGATATTATTAATATTTCTACATAAGCAACTAACTAACTGCTCACCTGATTTTACAAACAAAAAAGGCAAAAGAAAAATTCAACTTGAATCAACAGACGGACGTCATTTTGACCGATTCTGACTTTACTATCATGCTTATAATTTAGTGCGCCAGACGCAGGTTTCCTCAACTAGAGATTACTTAGTGGCACACGAATAAAAACAGTTGAAAGGCCAAAACCAATATACAGCGTGTAAAAATTTATTGCAAATGCATATATTACTAAATGAAGAGACCTGATAATGTCCTTCATATAACATGCACTGTGTATTTTGTTGTCATTTACGTTGGTTTATGGAGTTAAGAAACCATTAATAAGGATTTTTTGGGGTGTAAAATCAACGAATTTTCTGTTTAACATGTACCTAAACAAAAAAAAGGGAAAACCCATTCAACCAATAACGCCTCACATCGTGATTCATGTGGTATCTTTGGGGTTCAAGATAGGTTTCATTGAAAATTTTACGGACGCCATCACGAGTTGGTTGACAGTTATTGAAATTCTGTTTAACAGGTGACAACGGGTATGTTCCAATGGTCGAAATCACAATCTCGTCCTCTTTTCCTCTACCGAATTAGACTAATTTAATATCACTTGTTTTGTACGTACATGAACAATACGATGGAGCAAGATCTGCTTAACCTTCCGGGGCACCTGAGATCACCCGCGGTTTTGGGTTTTTTGCCATGGCATTGTCAGTTTGTTTTCAACTTATGAGTTTGAATTTCCCTTTGGTATTTTCACCTCTCTTTTAATCGAGTCGTGATATTATCTGGTTTACTGACGAATTTCTAGTAAAGATAAGGGGGATAATTTATTTTTGATAATTTTTAAGAGGCGGATTTTAGAAGCTTTTTTTTGGAAATCTGGTGACAAACAGTTACATGTACGAATAGAATTCTTTAATATTTGGCACGTTCTACAAATTTAAAAGACTCTATTGTTTGTAAGTTCACATGAAAGCTTCAGATAAATAGAAATAATGGAATCAAATTAAAATGAAAGCAGAATTAAAATATAGCGTTATAATTTTCCTTTAAATAAAGAAAGTGACGAGAATAGCAGGCTTTAATATAAAAAAAAAAGGAGATGTGGTATGATGGCCAATTGACTAAAATGTTTCGTTTGACCCTCCCTCATACATTCAATCCCAATAAACTTATTTGAATGCCCAAAATTGTATATAATGTTAAAACTCCTTTTTATAAGATGTGTTTTGTTGAGATTGAATATTCAACTTGGACGTTAGAGTCAACATTGCAATCTGGTTGGCTGAAATTTAAACAAAAATCTATCACAGTAGCGCGGTAAAACAAACGACACTAGGTAAGATTTAACTTTCAATCAAGGACCGAAGCTCATAAACTCGGCAATCAGATCTTTGGGAAGTTTTGAGAGCCGACAACCTGACGATGGTCAAGTATTGCGATTGGATCGTGAGGGATATGGTTTCAGATCGCGAGAACAGTTAGGTACAATTCAAATTCAAAATCTGTAAAAAATATTTTTATTGAGATGATTATGTTAACTAATTTGCAGACAAAAATTCGAGTATTTCCAATAAATTTATTTACTGTCATATTTGATCGTAAAGACAGTTGGATACAATTTCAACTTCAAAATCTGTGGAAAATATCTTTTACTAAGAAGCTTATTGGAGTAAAATATCTATTTGGATAAGTAAACACATTTCTTATTGCTCACACATTTTACCAAAACCTAATAAAATAAGTAATGTCTAGTTTTATATGTCAATTTTGTAATGTTTATGAAGTTTAACATTAATGTCAATGATGGCATTTCTGCACTTAAGTGACAGAAACATAATGAAGGAAAATAATATTAACAGACGCCAAATAATGGCTCTTATCATACCGACTCCTTTGCATAGTAGAACTTAGAGCAATCTAGTGAATAAAGAATTAGCCTTTACGGTTTAAATTTTAATCTAGTTAAGTACATTGTTGAATAACCAAATTGTTCTTCTAAAATGTAATTATGAAAGGGAAAAATTGAGAATAGAAGTAAAGTTATCAAATTTGACATTAAAGTATTTTATCTCTTAGGAACGCATATTTTCTTTGGTAATTGACAGTTTGTAGTACTGTAGCTTAATATGCTATTCATTACTAATAATCTGTCAAATTAACAAAACTCTAGTGAATTAATGAGAACTTAGGTATGATTATGAGATATAATATATATACTAAGCCTTTTACATTTCAAAGTCAAGAATTTATCTTGGTAATTGATCATAATTAAAAATTTTAAAAATAAGTGAAACTTACGGTCATTCAAAGATTAAACTTAACAGTAAATGTATGATAATTTATATTAAAGGTCCATATATAACATCATCCGTTGTCTGTTCACTAATGTCCATCCCACGGAACAGTATCTTTCTAATCTCACAAAATAGCAGCCCTGATGACTCACATATAATTACATTACATTTAAAAGGCAATATGAGCAACTGTAATCACTAATCTACAAACATGGCCAATGTTGCTAAAATAGAACACAGGTGTAAAATGCAAATTTGACTTATATCTCAAAAACTAAAGCAGCTAGAACATACCTGTTACGGTGAACATGATCAACAATTTTCCATATTTTTTTTAGATAATTAGTAACAACATTAACGGTACCAATTTTTCTGCACCAGATGCGTATTTCGACAATAAATGTCTCTTCAGTGATGCTCGATGTCTAAATATTTGAAAATCCAAAGCTTATTAAAAAGATGAAGATCTATAATCCAAAAAGGATAAAAAAGTATAGAAAAAGTCGATTTAAATTTCGTGAATGAAGGTATATACTAAAGCTATTTGACTTGTTAGTAAAATTAAAGAATTATAACAGATTTTGTAGAAGTGTTAGAAACTGACGGCTCTTGTGTTACTTATTTTAACTTTTTAGACCATTTTTCTCTATTCTTTATCTTTTAACACCCCATTATTCTCTATTCTTTATTTTTGGCCTATATATCTCTATTCTTTTTTATTTGTCCCTTTCATTTTGCACCTTTTCACCATTATTCTTTATTCTGTAAATCCCTTCCAGACCCTCATGAAATAATGGTAAAAAATAACATTAGAATATTTTTTATTTCTTTTGATGTCGTTATCTTGATAGTGTGATTTTGTTTTTAAAAACAGTCCTTCAATCTTTAAAAACCATTTCTTTTTAGGGTATTTTACTGGATTAAATTTTATCAATTCACAGACACGTGTTAACTTTTTTTTATATAAGAGATGTTGTTAATACAAGTTTTTCGTACGGGGGGTGGACTAAAACATGCCATATATGACGTACACATATTCATATGGCTATACAAAGTTGTTATTTTTATAAATGTTAGGTGATTTTATATATTTTGAATTGAATTTAAAAATTGCCGGACCTCGATGGCCAAATGGTTTATCTTCTTCGTCACAATAGCCTGTCAACTCTTAGGTCGTAGGTTCAAACAGTTCTCGACTCCGAACTTTAAGGATGGCCAGTTTTCCTGCCGAAGGTTGGTGGTTCTATCCTGGTACTACGGCTTCCTAAACAAATACAAACTGACCGCCAGGATATATCACTTAAAAACGGCGGTAAACACCAACAAACATGCAAAACATTCAACATCGATAGGTACTATCAAACTACCATTATACATACATGTATAATAAAAACTACATGGCGTTTACTTCACGATGAAATGGAATGTGGAACGAATTTTAAGTTTTATCTGAAAATATGGTGTGGATACTGGCGATGACAAAATGGCTATGTTTTATTTTCTTTCCTGTCACTGTCAAATGGGTAATGAGTAACAATGTAAAAAAAAATATTTTTTATTCTTGTATGTTGTGTTCTAATGTTTTATTTTTGTGCTTTATATTTGATTTATCACAATGAACATTAGATGAGCATGCAAGTTACTGATAAAAGTATATGATTGCAGAGGTCAAATGAATTCTTGGATAAAATACACAATGGCATGTGCACTTCAATTGTCTCTGACAATTAAATAAGTTAAAACTATCTGGTCAGAACTGACTGCACATCCAATATTTTCACAAATCACACAATTTTAAATGTTATTGACAAAATAATTATTAAAACACGGTAGGTAGGTATAAAAGTACACGACTTTTACAAGGTGTTTTGTCCCTGCCAATGGTACTCGCCAGATGGCTTTATATAGCAGAGGTCCCAGACTTAACGGTGGTAGAAAACTCATCTGTTCTGAATTTTGCCTTACACGACTTTTTCCTTTTAGTTCTAGATCCATCATAAACGTGCATATGGTCCAAATGACAACAACTAATTGAATGGATACCCCACATTTCCACTTTATTGATCATTAAAAAGTTGAGATAACCATACATTTTTATAGTCGGTATAGTGTTCGGGAAAGATCGTGTTTATTGTAAAATGGTAAAATGTGAAACAATTCAAACGAAAAAAGCAACGACCTGTTGTATGACAAAACAATTAACGAAAAACAGATAAAACAGACAGCTACTATTGACAACCACATAATTAAAGACTCCTGACTAGGTTAAGGTACATATAGAATGTGGCAGGATTGAGCATATTCATGATCACTTAACCCTTACCGTTTTCAATGTAATGCCAACTTTTTCTGAGTACATTTTACCATAGCCTCGCAGTATTATGGAACATTTAGGTAGAAATAAGAAGATGTGGTATGAGTGCCAATGAGACAACTCTCAATCCAAGTCACAATGTGTAAAAAGTAAACAATTATAGGTCAAAGTACGGTCTTCAACACGGAGCCTTGGCTCACACCGAACAGCAAGCTAT